CACAAAGAGATCAATATTCCGGAATTAAATTTCCCAAATATTTGGGCCCAGCAATGAACCTCTCAAACTAGATGCCATACCAGCATGCCTAGCCACTGTATTCGTATCTTTGCCGCTTCACGGCGAATCGAAGCAAGGCAGAATCAGACAAATATTAATAGACACATTTCCGAACAGAAAACAAGAGCTCTTTCCAGTCTGTTTAGTAAGTCAATTGTGTTCCAAACGTAGAATTGCTCTCTGAATTATTGTTATTATTATCATTATTACTCCCTCCGTTCCTAAATATTTGTTTTTTTAAGATTTTAAATGACTACCACATACGGATGTATATAGATATATTTTAGTGTGTAGATTCACTCATTTTGCTCGCATGTAGTTACTTGTTGAAATATCTAGAAAGACAAATATTTAGGAACGGAGGAAGTATTATTTTGCAGGGAAGCTCTCTAAACTTCATTCAGAGACAGACTACATTCACTTTTTTTTTGCGGGTAGACAGACTACATTCACTGACTATCAAAAATAAATATACACTCTCCGGAACGCTTCCATGTAAGTATTTTGCCCATTGACTACGGGGACAGCTCTAAAGGAATGCAGTGACAGAATCATACGTTCTCATCTTCTGGTGCATGCATGATGCTGCCGAGGGAGATAATAGCACTGCAGGTCCTTAAACTTGCAGTGGATGTGATGATTTGGTCCTTGAAGTTGAAAAAGTGGATTATTTCATCCCTCAACTTGTCATGGATGTGCAAATTTAGTCCAAGACCAATCAGAACTCGCCAAGTGGAGCCAGCTGGCCTGGGCCGGTCAGCGCCGCGCATTTTGCAGTTTACCCCTGTCTTTATCACGAATCAACCCGCACTACTACACCTGAGTTAACTGGTGGGTATATTCCTTCTCTGGGTCTCATTGCACAAAACACTACCGACCAGAACGATTTGCTAGCAGATTTGCGCACGACCTGATGGCCTGTGGACAAGCATGGATGCACACGCAGTTCCTTCTGATCTTACCTCAAATTGCCGGGATTAAGAAAGGGAAACTTCAGGCATGGAGAAACTGTACATGTATCAAGTGACAAATACTTGCAACAGAACATATAGCAGCATAAAGAGTCTACAGAACGTGTGTCGGGCAAAGTTGCAAAACAGCATCATTTTCCAGGCCTTTTAGCGTTTCTCTGTACAATGATCACATGTCATCTACTAACAGCTCTCAAACACTACACACTGGTACTCTGACGAGCGAATTCAGAACTAAGTGCAACACCATCCAGCCATTCAAATGAAACATGATATTGAGTGTTGTCTACCCTGGGACGCTGCCGCTTAGTTGCCGGCATTGATTCCAAAAATCCGGGCCTTGTGCATGTTCGATAGTTTCGCAACAACCAGTACTGTGACTGCAATGGTGTTCAAAAAGAGCATAGGATGTTGATAGTCTGTGGTGTGCGAAGCGATCAAGTACCTTTATATTCCCTACAGAAAATAACTAGCCTAGCTTTATATAACACTCAAGAATGTACCAAAGATATACTTGCACTAATAAAAACAAAAACCGAGTCTATTAATATGACAGTGACATAACAAAGAATTCATTAGAGTATTTGTTTATTTTCACTGAAGAGCAAACCCAAATTCAAAAATACTCCCAAACATTTGTGCGCATAAGTAGATTATATCTGCAGCACGTGAGAATGAAGACTCTTCACTAATAGGTCTAAAATAGGAGATTCTTTGGTATACTCATACAGGGGAATGTTTGCAAGCATATATAGAATCCAACATCAGAAAACATGTAGTCTATTTTCAAGTATGTCATTTTCTACTTTACGATCGACATGTCTTAATCTCAGTGTTAAATCTGCTGAAAGTATCTGGGAGGAAATTTCAACAAATGCTTTACGGTGAAGCGCCAATGATGTACGTACCTTATTAAGACTAGACGGGTGAAAAGATGACGATAAATAGACTTCAGAATAATATCTGAACCCATTGTGAGCCGCTAAAAACTCTGAAGATTATGACAGGGGCGCGCGAGATATTAACATCATGAGCCACCCAAAAAAGTAAGCTCTTTATCTTGTCAGCGTCCACTTGTACCGAGCTACCAACTGCGTATCAAATCAGCTTACATAGTTTCAGCCACAAGGAAAAAAAGTTATGTTAGTATCTTTGTCAAAGATAAAAATATGTTAATATCCACAAGGAGAGACAGGATATTTCTCCCTTGCAATGAAATTCAGAGTGGATAGTTGAACATAGAAACAGAGACAAAACAATCCAGCAGAAAATGGGACTCGGTTGTCTCAAAACCATATGAAACCTCACAGCAAAAATCTCAGACTGGAGTGTTAACAGTGGAAGGAAAGTCAGGTTAAGCATCAAATTAGTTTTCCATATCACCACCAACCTCAGGCTGCTGCTGGTGCTTGCAAAACCAGGCAGAGGTGATTAGGCTTGTGTGGAACCATGATGTATTTTCAGAAGCACAGTCACTCCTTCCTTGCTACAACAACTGCAATGTTATCTACCTTAACCTGAAGGAGAAGGATGCAGTCTGCAGAGCACTGAATTCAGCAGCTCACAAACAACACTTCCTTGGAATCAGCTATGTGATCCTGAAAGCACTTTTTAATTCCATGTACTGAGCCGAGCACAGATAATAACAGACATACAGGCGACAAAAAGAAATGCATTTGAATTGATGCGAGCTCCTATGCCGAACAGGCTACAAACACAAACATACTACTACTGCCTCCGTTCGGAAATACTTGACGCTTGTTTTCAGAAAATGAAGGAGCATATATATCATCCAGTATATACCAATTGAATCTATATACTATCCACCTTTGCCCAAAAGAATCAAGGCATGTATTGTATGTATCGTCCCCTTAATTGCTGCGCAAAACTTTACAGTGCAGACGTTGTTTTGTGCAATGAGACCCAGAGAAGGAATATACCCACCAGTTAACTCAGGTGCAGTAGTGCGGGTTGATTCGTGATAAAGGCAGGGGGTAAACAGCAAAATGCACGACGCTGACCGGCCCAGGCCAGCTGGCTCCACTTGGCGAGTTCTGATTGGCCCTGGACTAAATTTGCACATCCATGACAAGTTGAGGGATGAAATAATCCACTTTTTCAACTTCAAGGACCAAATCATCACATCCACTGCAAGTTTAAGGACCTGCAGTGCTATTACCTCCTGCCGAGGAGAGCTAAAACTGTGCGCTCTTGGCACCCCGGCGGGGAAGCAACTTTCCATGGCGACCCAGTACGCGCGCACGCCTTTCCGCTCCGCCCCGCTGTGCCCTGTCCTTTCTTTTTTTCTTTTGACATCTTGAGGAGCAATGCTACAGCTACGAACAAAGTTAACGTAATCTTACGTGATTAGACAGCTGGCGATTTGTGATTGGGATTAGAGGGGAGGAGGGTTACGTAAAACTTTACCTAAGTCTTCGTAAGTCTAGAATTATCGCATCTTGAGCCTGTCCATCTTGCTGTGAAGCGTTGTGGTCGACCAACCTTTTGTCATCAACTTTTGGAAGTGGGAACTGCAGATGGCAAAAGCCGGTGCATGCCGACTTCGCTTTGAATCTTGCAGATGCGCTTCAGATTCTCTGTCCCGGAGTAAGGTCCCGCCGTGGCTTGTCGTTATACGCTGCATGTTTTCCCAGTGTCCCAAATCCATCTTACCAAGTTTTTTTGGTCACAAACAATAGCTTGATCTTTATGATGGTTGGCTCATGCCCCCATTGTCCATCCCTTGCAAACATGGGCCAAAGCACGACTGACTGACAAAAACATCTGCTTAATTTTGCGCCTTTGCTAAACCTCTTGTAACCTGAAAATGTTTTCACTTTGGCCAAAAAAAAGTTTTTCCGGTCGCCTGATACATAGGCAGGCGCTTACATATTTTTGCTAATCAAAATGGATATCCCACACCGCTCGACAACCCATGATATATAACTTATGATATACTACCTAGTAAACTAATATAAAAGCGTTTAGATCATTTAGATCACTACTTTAGTGATCTAAAAGCGTTTAGATCGTATATTATGGGACAGAGGGAGTACTTAAGAAGCATTCCATGCTCAATCCGTAAAATACAAATCCTTACCCATGAAACGATGTTACCATGGTGACTGTCCATGCCTAAACTGGGCAGCTACTGCCTGCTGCACCTGCACTTCTCAAGTCCTGATCCAATTTCTCTACTATCCTTCTCTGAAGATGCATTTTCAGAGGTCCACTACCGTCGACGCGATTTTCAATATCCACAGAGAAATGTTGCCCCAAAACAAGCTACTTCACACGGCCAAACCTCTCCACAAGCTTCTGCTCAATCTCCAGCCTCTTCTCCACCAACAACGCGTACTTGTTCAGGAGCTCATCGTCCCCCTCGCAGCCCCCAAATGGAACAGCCAGCTTCATGCTGAGCGATTTCCTATCCAATCTGCCCGAGTACACGCGTGAGATCGGCACAAACTCGCCGCGCTGCTTGCAGAGCCACCCATGGGCTGCCCTCAGAGCAGCACCCAGCGAGGCAGAGTCTGCATATCAGTCGTCAGATAGAGTGCACCCACTAGAGGTCAGTGTACAATCAGGTCATGCAGATCTCTTGCACATACCTGGTCTCTGAACAGTGTAAACCGGACAGCCGAAAATGGACGCCATCGTCTTGAGAATGGCCTGGTTCGACGAGGCGCCACCAGTTGCTATGATCCGCTTCGGAGGCACCGGCAGGCCGCACCTCTCGGCATGTCCCCTCATGGACATGAACTGGCCTTCTATTAACGCCCGCACCTGAATAAGTTTTGTGTTAAACCAGCCGAAACTTTGCTTGGCATGTTCAATCGTTTGATGACACCGACAAGTTGTGGAGTACTCAAACCTCTGACGGAGGATCAAACTCATCGGTTTCATGTTCCTTGGTCTCAGCTAATGGTCCATTGGTTAAGGTGTCAACAATGTAGCGGTGAAACCCGACTAGGCATATATATTAGCACATGGTGTGAGCGATGACACGAAGAGTGGATGGGGAACGATATGCAAGGTCGATAATAACCTGGAAGTGGTGGCAGGATCTCGTGCTCCTTGTAGTAAAATCCTAGTTTCCCTCCTGTAAAAGAAGAAAAACACGAGATATAATAATCCATGTGAAAGCTACCATTCTGTGGTCAATGCAAGCATCTAGCCTGATGGAAGGAAAGAGAAAGACAGGCTTTTCATAACATAACTGCATTAACCTTAGTGTGATCAACGCATAATCAAACATGTGTACCAACTTGCCGAAATGTAAACTTTTATAAACCTGATAGTTTAAATACCTTAATCTTTTAATTGAAAAAAAACCCTTAATCCAACGAAATTCACACCACCTTTTCAAGATATGCATTTTGAGGGATACTAATCATTTTGATCAAATACATCGCGTACCATTTAGGGGGTCTGTTTGCTCAAGCAAGTTGTTGAACACATCCCATGATTTCTCAGCATAACGATCACGAATGTCTGACAAGGAAGTCCATAAGTTAGCAAGAGTAACAGCACAACAGAAGGCACTGAAAATGGTACCTTCTCGAGTTAGAGATCCGTTTTTATAGCAAAGCATAACCATGTAGGTGTTGGGGTCAACTGGATTAGGAAGTACGTTTCCATCCAGGGATGGTTCAGGCACATCAGTAACCCCAAATACCTGAAAGATCATAAATGCGTCACAATTACCACCAAAAGTTGATAGAAACAAAACAGTGTTGCACAATTACTGGTCATTTTTCCGCAAATCCTTTTACTAACTGTTCTGCAACACAAGAAAAACTAGGTTTGATCCGCATAATGGGCCAAATTCAGAACCATCTCCTAATGTACACACTAGCTGCACGTTCACATTATAGCATTGCTCTTAAAAAAAATAGAAGGATTAGTAGGCATGGTGATAGATGATTACTGTATCACTTGTTCCAAGGCTGATTGCTAGATCACCAGGATTGCTCAATGTTAGGCCTGCATAACCATACATATCAGGGTACGGAAATATTCTTTAAATTTGCAGTATGTAAAGGTTCTTGTAAGCTTTATATTATTCCCTCTGATCCATAATAAGTGTCGTGGTTTTAGTTCAAATTTAAACTAAAACCAAAACCACGACCCTTGCATGCATCGTCCAGATGCAGAGGCCGGGGGTCCTCCTCCATTTCTAAAAAAAATACGAGAAAGCAGACATATCATATGTTTTAAATTCATATGCAGAAAGTCAGAACCTCACGTACCTGCAAGGCTATTGGGGTTGTCCCCTGACCACTGAACAACCAGACAGTTGCTTGGAAACTGAAATCTGAGAAAAACATGAAGTATCCAAGTATATCATTCTGACAGGTTAATCACACAAATCATTATGAATTAAGAAGTTAATTAGGCAACAATAACATCAGAAGGTAACTGGTAAATCATTGATCCCATTGCAAACAACATAATAGTGCCAATCTGACAGATATTGCAATGCCAGTAGCAATGAACAAAAAGTTAGTATCTGCATATAACTCAGAATTTCCAGACATTTACTCAAAAGAAAAATGTGCTAAACCACGCTACTCTGCATAAGCTACTCTGAACATATATGAGGCAAAAATTCGATATAAAAATCTAGACACAAATTCCTCTTAAGCTACCTCTGAACAAAATAAGGAGCTAAAGTTCCAGCGATAGCATGCGCTGGTGCTAGCTTCCCAATCTTCACATCCAAATCTGGAGCTGTAGCCTGTAGTAAACTTGGAATGCATCAGAAACAATCACAAAGCAAACTGGAGGGGGGAAATCAAGTAATAAACTGAATAATCTTGTTATGCCACCAGCTCTTTTCAGTCCCCAAAGATGTGGTTCCTGCAAACTGCAGTTGCAAAACTCTGAACATATAAGAAACCAAAACCTCAAGGGCATCTTGGCGCAGCTGACGCGTCTCAATGTCCATCAAGTTCATCCCGGCACCGTCGGTCTGGTCGATGCAGGCATAGCCGCCGATGAGCAACGACGCCATGAACGAGCTGACAAGCGAGATCCTCTCGGTGCCGTCGTAGAGGCCCCGCCTCGTCTGGAACATCTTCCTGATCTGCGGGCCGGTGCACCGCTCGTGCGCCCGGCACCCCGTCATCCGGGCCAGCGCCAGCGGGCCTCCCAGCGCGGCCTCGACCTCCCGGCACTGCGCCGTCGAGCTGCTGTCCATCCACACGGGCGACTCCGGCGCGGCGAACGCGCCGGCCAGCTGCGGCGCCAGGCCCCTGGCCGGGTCCAGGGAGGCCAACGCGGCGCCCGCCCCGCGGCCCCAGTAGACGCTGCCGTGCTGCTGCGCGCTGCCGGAGACGGCGGCTACGCGGCCGTAGTCCACCCTGGGCTTGAGCCTGCGGAGGAGCAGGTCCAGGGCCTCGGCCCACATCAGCGGCGGCGACACGATGCGGCCCGGCTCGGCCGGGTCCCGGCGGACGCCGCCCTCCGTGCCGTAGTGCGGCAGCTCGGAGTCGAAGTGCACGGCGTCGTGGGCGACGATTGCGAGGCTCGCGTCCAGCACGGTGGCTTTCAGCGACCTGCGAAGACCATGGCAAGAATGAACTACAATGGAACTGGAGGAATCATCAAAGGCAGCAATTCCAATGCGTGATTGACCAGGAATTCAGGGGCAAAAGATGATAGTTGGAAGGATCTAAGGCATGGAGTTTCTTACTGCGTGGAGCAATCAAACCCGAGGAAAAGGCAGCCGTCTGGGAGGGGGAGGGGGAGGGAGCAACCATCGCCGTCGGCCATGAGGACGGGCAGAGAAGCTCCGTGGTGTGTTCAAGCGCTGGCTCGCTGGATGTTTGTGGATTTTTGATTTGATGATGACGAAGGGGAGCAAGCCAAAAAGATGGGAAACACTTTAGATCAGTAGTCTGATACTTCTTATTCGCTTAGACGTCTTGTGCACCGTCCATCTTGTACCACATGCTGGCATCTAATCTCCTTAAATTGCTTATAACTGCCATCCTCAAATTAAGTTTTTTTCATTAATGATTTGAACCGGCGTCCGTCTTCCCACAGCCAACAAATAGGCTGACTTCATTCTCCGCCATCCTCCTCCACGACAATCACGCCTTCCTCCACCTGTTGCTCTGCCTTTCCTTGTGGTTCTTTTTCCCGCTCATGGCAGCGACCTTCCCTGCATGAGCGGGGACATGAACCCAAACACCTGCGTCGATCTTCTCTGCGGTGTAGTCTTATTCTCCACCATGACGCCAGATATGATCTACAAAGGCCGGGAGAGGATGGTGCGCGCGACATGCGGGTGGATGGCGGCCATGGTGTGCAGCATGGAGCATCCCAGTGGGTGTCGTTCTAGTCATCGGCATGGGAGCACACTGGTAACACAACGCTCAACTGCTGCAGGTCAATAAAGTCGGCAACTCGACGATGCCGACCGCGCTGCTCCTTGCCGCTCCCCGGCGTCGACACACATCTTTTGGGGAGAAAAAGAGGTCGTCAAAGCTAGGGAGAAGATGGCAGCTGGAGTGGACCGTCCAGGGACGGGTTCGACATCGATAAAGCACACACGAAAGATGCATGCTTCCTAACATGGGATTCCCTGCTTCTTCATGTATCACCTTTGCTTCCTACCCCGGCCTCGCTCGTGCACGAGGACAACTTAGGCATGTCAAGTCTTCCCCGTGGCCCTATCTGACCACCACACTCAGGCAACGTTGGTCTGATCTCACTGTTGCTGCTGAGATCTTGTGGACGCTATTCCTCAAAGACATCTCTCTTTGGATGATGGTGCTCATGTTCCAGTAGGGGGCTTCATCCCGTTGTGCTTCGGTGTTCATGTCTTGTTGTATGTTAATGTCTTGGTGTATCTTGTATGGAAGCAATGTCCAATGTATGATAATTTTGTTTTCTTTGAAAGAAAATTATGATCTCATTTACAAGCTATGTTGATGGAAAAATTCATCAATCATAAAGTTCGTCGTTGAAAATATGTACATGCGACATTTGAAACAACTTTCAACTTATTTGGAAGCACATGCTCATTTTTTTTGAAGCACATGCAATTGTCACGTGGCACATGTATGCTGCACCAACTTCTTAAATTTGTATCCAACATATCTCTATTTCGCTTCCTTCTCACGAAATAGAATCTCTTGTTACACAATGAGAAAGCATTATAGGTTTCACAGAACATTTATGCTTCCTACATAGTTGAACAAAGTTTCAGTTAGACACTAATCATGCTTCTAACAATAGCACACTATGCTTCCAAATAAATCAAGCTTCTCTTACACAGTAATCAGGTATGTTTCCACCGTTACTACATGATGCTTCCAACGTTCAGATTACATGTTGTCTACAACCCCAAATTTCAGTTTAGACGTCCTAGTTTGATCTGAGAATATTTACAGTTGGAACAAATTTTTGAAGTATCTTTATTTTGTAAACAGTTTTTTGAATAATATATGTTTCCATGGCATGGGTTTCCATTATAAAAATTCAATTTTCCATGCCATGTCTTCGCTGCAAAAAGAGAACATCTCCAGAAACAATAAAGTTTCTTTATCTGTTTATTGGAAGCAAATCCGCAATTAGTGGGAAGCATAATTTTTTGTATTTGTTTGTTGGAAGCAATCACAGCTTACCAAAAACAATTGACGTAATTTCTGCAAGCAGTTAGTTACTAGAAGCATAGATAAGGAATGATGGAGAGGTCAGCGGGAGGTTATTATGGAAGCACTTAATTACTATAGGAAGCAAATCCGCAATTGTGGGAAGCATAATTTTTTGTATTTGTTTATTGGAAGCAATCACAGCTTACCAAAACAATTGACGTAATTTCTGCAAGCAGTTAGTTACTAGAAGCATAGATAAGGAATGGTGGAGAGGTCAGCGGGAGGTTATTATGGAAGCACTTAATTACTATAGGAAGGAAATAACTCATCGCCTAACAATAGTATCAGATCGGACGAATAGCATGATGTTAATCCGACGGTCATCCAGTGGTCTGATGGGAAGCAAGGGATCAGTAGTCTGATCCCTAGTGGTTCCCAAAGAAGATTGACAAAAAGGAATATGCTTTCATTGAGAGTTGAAAAATCAAGACCTCCCGCTAAACGGGTGCTCTAACCAACTGAGCTATGAAAAGTCTTTGTTTTGGTTTCCTTTAAGTACCATAATATTCAAAAGTGTGCATTATTCATGTTAGGTGGAAGCATGAAATTTTGAAGCTAGGAATTTTTTTATTTCCTTAATTAATTACAAAGGAAGGACAAATATGAAGCATCGGATTTTCGTTATATCGATAAGGATGGCAATTTTATCCATGTTGGGCAAAGGTATGGAGCTGGGTCGGGCCTGGTTTTTGTCCACTCCATGGATATCTAATGGATACACATAGGGACGAATTCAGGGGAGCTCATATTGAGCGCTTTAAGCGCCGCCGAAGCCGACTGGCGCCTACAGCAAACGACAAATGGGCCGGCCCACGAATGCACCAGCGCAGAAATTGCTTCGCGAAAAAAGGACCCGCAAAAAACCTGCTAGTACGATGACTCAAACTCAGGTCGCCTCTTCGAAAGATGATGGTTCAGCTAACCACTTCTGCCCGCAGATCGCTGTGACAAACACGAGCATGAATACTTAAAGAACTATTAAGGCCGCGTTATTTATTACACAATAAACCTTGCATTTTTTACGTTTTATATGAAAATTTATTTATAAAATTTTGAAAAAAGTTCACGAATTGGAAACGTTCATCATTTCTGAAAAAAGATCATCCCATTTGATAAGAAAAGTCATCTATTAGAAAAAAATCATCAATTTTGAAAGAAGTTCACAAAATGTGAAAAAAGTTCATCGATTTTAGAAAAAAAAAACTAATAGAATTTGAAAAAAAAGTTCAACGAATGCAAAAAATGTTCATTGAATTTCGAAAAAAGTTCACCAAATTTGAAAAAGTTCATTGGTTTTCAAAAAAGTTCACCGAAGCTATAAACAAGTTCACCAATTTTTTAAAGTTCACAAAATTTTTTAAAAAAGTTCATCGAATAAGAAAAAAGTTCACCGAAATTGAAAAAGTTCATCGGTTTGAAAAAATTTCACCGAATCCATAAATAAGTTCACCAATTTTTTAAAAAGATCATAGAATTTGAAAAAAAAAAGTTCATCAATTTGGAAAACAGTTCACAAATTTAAAAAAAAGGTTCATCAAATTCAGGAAAAAGTTCATTGAATTTAGAAAAAGTTCATCAAATTTGAAAAAAAATCATCAAATTGGAAAAAGTTCATCCAATTTGAAAAAATCATCAATTGTTAATAATAGTTCACTAAAAAAAGTTCATTGATCTTGAAAACAAAATTTCATCAAAGTTTAAAAGAGCATCATCGATTTCGAAAAAGTTCACGCATTTAAGAAAATAAAAAACATGAAAATCAATGAGGGAGGAAACCTGGAAGAATTAGAAAAAAGGAAAAACAGAAACGAAAATGGAAAAAAGGACAAAGAAAAAAAAGAAAACAGAGCAAGAAGGAATAAAGAGTAATAGAGTTGTAGATTAACAGATCATTCTCGGTAGCGCGGTGGTTGTTCGAACGATGTTCTACGTTGTAGGTCGCCGGTTCGAATCCTGTCGGGTTCGCTAAATTTTTGTGAAATTGACATACGCAGTTATAACGGGCCGGCCCAGCGCGGGGCGCTGCTGGCGCCCGTTTGTAAATTTGCCTATAACGGGCGCCTGCAGCGCTAAATAGGATTTGCCCGAATTCAGGGGGGGACGAGGGGTCTCCCTAATGATCGTGTCGTACGTTGATGATGGGGATGAGTTACGCGCTGATATTTTTGCTTCCGTGGAGACTCAGACAGGCGTTGCCAGCGACCACCGTCAAGCAAAAGACAACGGCGAAAAGACTCGCTTCCTGCCCTGCGCTAGCCATGATCGATCGACTACGCAGTTTTTTGTGCACTTGTTTGTGAGTGCTCTAGTTCACAGTGCAAGCGTGGGTGGGTGTATCGGCATGGCGGCACAACGAACGTGCTGAACTCACTGGTTTTACTCACGGTACAGGAGCTTGCACATTGAGAGCTTTACCTACACATGTAACTTAGAGCATCTTTAGCTGATACCGCAAAAAGAGATGTTTTGAAGGATTAGACCTAGATATCAGACCCCTAAATTGTTAGTGCATCAAAAAAAAAAATTGACTTCCATCCTCTAACAGTTGTCTTCACTCGAAAAAAATTAGTCCGAAAGGATACCATTCTTGGTAAACATAAGGAGGCTACTATCACCTCCCACATTCAAGACTTGGCGACCGGCGCACCAGCCGATTGGCTTGGCACCGGTTACAAAACCCACTACCACAGCTCCGAAACCTTAGTTGACTCCATGCCACTTCAATTTTTCCCGCCGCCGTCCCCGAATCGGCCGTCTCCTAAGCCCGATTCGGCCTATCGCCGCCGCCATTCTCAAGGTAGAAGTCGCGGTTGCCAGTCGACTCCCCGCCACATCACACAGCCCCGCGTCGACACCCACAGATCCGCTTCGCCCCTCCTATGACCCCACCGCCTTGCGTCTCCGTCCCTTGCGCCATCTTCCTCGACTACGTCACCATCGCCCCTGGAGCTCCGTTGCCACACACACTGTCTTTGTTGTCGATGTATTCCCCGACTCCACCTCCGCCATCACCATCCTCTCCAGCAGCTGACTCCAAGAGCTCTGCCGCCACCGCCATCCCTGAAGTACAACGACATCTGGTGGCGGTCGTGGGGAAAATTCACTGTGGAA